GCCCCTCCAGGCACTGGCAGCTGCTCTAAGGTCACCCCGGAGTCTTCTCTTCTCCAGGCTGAACAGCCCCAGCTCCCTCAGCCTGTCCTCGTGCGGTGACCCTTTTTGCTTCTTTGTACACGTAACTGCAGCCTAAAACAAGTTTCAGTTTTGAAAATGGCTCCACAGTGTCTTTCAGCATGAGAACTATCTAAGCCGACTGCCAGTTTGCAGTCCCTGGAGAATCCCCAGAGCACGAAGTCAAAGACAACAGGCTATGAAAACAAAACACAAAAACCTTTAGTCAAAACTGTTAAATGATTTAGACATCTTTGTAGATCAAGATCTTAATGTAAACTTGAAAAATGCTTTGAGGCAGACTAAACAACGCCAACCCTGCCGCACAAAGAACATTTTGAAAGATTTTTTTCTGTTATGGGGCTCTGCCCTGAACGGCATCAGCAAGACCCGGCCAATACCACCACTGGATGTCAGGCAGCAGCAAAGGGGGAGAAACATCCTCTTTCTCCTCAGAAGCAGGCTACAATCAACACTCATTATTTGCAACTCCATCAGCTTTGTGTAGTTTAAACCCTTGGAATGTGTGTGAACCCCTGTTTGTATCTTTGCTCTCCGCTGAGCGAGGCAGCGACCACCTCACCACACTGCGAGCGCCAACGCTCCGCTGCGGTCCGACTCGCTCCTACCGGAGGGAGCATCGCAGGCTTCAGAACAAGAGCGAACGATCACGGATGAACACAGCATTTACACAGTAGATATTGCAGAGCAGCGGGAATGGGGGATAATCTCAAATTTAAATTGCTACAGGATACACAGAGAAAAATCCATTTTCATGCACTCGATCCCCTGTAGTTCAGAGAAAGCAAAGAGCAGGGTTGCCAGAAACGCCTCGGTTCAGTTACCTGCTGCAAACTCCTCAATAGTCATCAACGGGAAGCGGATAAGCGAAAGCGCTTTGCCCAGTACTTTCCGCTTGTTCTCTGGAATCACCTGAAGTTGCTGCCGTTGACACTCAGCCTCCGACCAGCGAACCACTGCATTAAACAAACGAACCTCCCGGATCCCCAGGGTATCCCTCTCCAGCACCGCAACCAGGGTGTCTGCAAGGCAGGACAGACAGTGACAACTTTAGGCACTAACCCAAGCCACCCGATGTTACCTCGCCAGAAGTACCCTATGTACAGCCAAGGGAGCGAAAGAGAAGCAACTGAAAAAAACCCAGCGTCTCCCAAAAGTGCTGCCCACAGCCTCGGAGGAAGATACAGCTCCACGTTCCGTAAGCAAGGAACTCAGTGCAGTGGCAAACAGTGCCCATTTAATTGGTGTGTTAATGGAAGTGCAGCAGAATGAACTGCAACTTACCTCACACCAAATCTGGAAGAAGCAAGCAGCACGAAAGCCAGAAGGTTACCCGTGCCTTACCTCCGTAGTCCATCTCATTGGAAGAAGGTTAAAGTCTGAGTTTTAACGTTTATTAACTGTGCCCAGCAACTTTGGAAACTGCCTACAATAATTAAAGTAGCCAGTTGTTGCTTCCCAAAACGCAACACCTTTTTAACTCCAAAACCTGACAAAGACTCAGGGAACAACGCCAACTCCAGAAAAGGCGGCAAGTTACACCCACCCAAAACCTGCCAACATCAACACAGGAAACAGGCTGTGAATCATGCCCAGAAACCTCCAGCTGCACCAAAGGAACCAGATTCCAGGATATTTCTGCAAGCGAGCATGCTCCTTTGCAAAGGCCTTGTCTGCAGCCACTTAGTGCCAGAGACTGCTCGTTCAGACTGCTCCAGAACAGCAAAGCCACAAAAGAGAAGTGCCAAGTATTAACCTGTCACAACTTCAGAGGCAAGCTTGTTATGAAAGCACGCAGAGGGAGGAGGGGAAAAAGCTTACCCAGATCAATGTCTGTAAACCCCTCCGCATTGATGGCGTCTGATGTGTTCTTGTCGATGTTCTCTAGGCAAAGGCTGGCCAGCTGAGGCTCATCAAAAAGTCTGGCCTAGTAATGAAGAAGCAGTTGTTAACACCAAAGGTATTTTAAAGTTTACTCTAACTAAGGACTCCCCCCTCCTCTCGAGCCCATCTTCATTAGCAATCCTATGCCTGACTGCATCACAAATTCACTGGGCTGCAGCAGTCTTTCACAAGCAGTTAAGCATGACAAGGCAAACACCAGAAAAATCTGCCTTTGGCATCAGTTCTGGGGTAGCTGTGCACGTCTTCAGGCACGTCTTTGTTTCAACATCACCTCAGTTAATGTGGCTATAGTGCTTTCTAGCGCCATACTGACCATGTCAGCTGAGCATGGGTAACTTTTCCTACATCATTTTTATATTTAGAAGAAAGCTTTGCCCAGTGACTCCAGGCCTGCTCACTCCAGGAATATGCGGAGACAGCTTACTCTGCAAGAACACAGCCACACTGATCTCAGGTATTAGCAAAAACGCCGTAGCAGGCACACCGCGTGCAAAGCCCTGCGGGGCACACAGCCTGCTTAGTGTATTTGCATGTTTTGCACAGAAACAGCAACTCTAATCTAGTTACCTTAAAGAATTCCCTCCAAAGTAGGTTACTATTCCAAACCGAGCCTGCACGCAGCCTGCAGAGTTGCTCGGAATGTCTCTGCTCAACTCAAGTGCAGACTTGTAACAATTTCACTGCCACTTCAGATCCCGCTGGACCACCAAGACACATTACCAACCCTGTGCCTAGCGTAAGCAGAAATGAGGTGGGAACACGCACAAGTCCCTAAGGTGACCTCTTATTTCCAGTGCTTTTGTTTTGCTGTTTAGGAAGGAATTGCCTTAGCATCACACCTAACATTAGCGCAAGAATACGCTGGACTGGAACTCACTTTCACAGGTAAGGTTTAGAATTGTGGTCTGGGTTGGGAATACCGGCACTATGGAGCATCATCCGCTTCACCCTTGCTCACGGGCTGTAGAGCTCAGCAAGGCCAGCCCTCAACACCGAGGCCTCAAGTGCAGAGAGCTGAAACAACTCTCCCTTTTCTCAGGGACCACAGAAGCTTCAGCAGTTGTCACCTGCGCCTGGGGCTGTGGGACTGCCAGTGCCTCGCACTCCTGGCGTCCCAGAGCCGTGACCGACTCAGACTTTACTACCGTAGTGGCTCTCTTCCGACACATGAAGGACTGACTTACACTACACTTGCTCCTCCACAGCAGCTTTAGGCAAGCTATTATTTCTTTGTTGATCAAAGCAACATTTGCATGTACGTCTGGCATGAAAGAGGATCACGGTTCATTATGAGGCACAATCAATTAGGAGAGCTATTTGCCACTGATATTTCTGCCAGAGCTTAGCAGTCGCTTGAAACGCTGTCAATGACATAGCTGCTGGACCAGCGGGATTCAGCAATGATGCACGCAAAGGAGATTTGGGGCCCTACGATCTTAGGTCCACAATCTTAAGTCTGTTGGGAAATGTTTTGGACAAGATGCATCTCGGGTCTGTAAATGACTGTACAAATTGTCAATCTGCTGCAATAAAAGCAGAAAACAGAGGGCGATTTTCACACTGAAGGACCAGAGCCGTGAGCATTTTGAGAACAGACCCGTTAAGCAAGGTGCCTCGTGCAGCCAGTCACTGAGATACAGGTAAGTTTCTCAAAGGACACCAGCCTCAACCATTTCAGAGCCTTGATATACTGCAACAGTGAACATAAACCAGATATGAATCACTGCTGATAATTAATCATAACGGGTAATCCATAAACAAAAGGAACCAGGAAAGCCTGTCTCCATCTGCCCCAGTGCAGCTGACAGAGTGCCAGGCAGTATCTTGGTTTTGGTATCTGAAAAGCTAAGACACCTTCCTCTTCTGCCAAAGAAAGACCTTTGTGACTTGTGAGGAAGTCACCATCAATATAAACGTTACTTTGCCAAAGCCGCAAAGTCAGGTTACAGCAGAACAGCATGCCGCAAAAATCCCTGAATAAAGAATACCACCAAAAAGCCAACACCTCTGATCCTCGTGAGGTGTTGGCTAGTGTACGATGCCTCTTCAGAGCTGCAGCCTACAGGAACGCTCTCTTCCCAGCTCTTGGGTAACAGCTCCTGATCTCTCAGGCCAAAGCAGGGGAGAGCGGCAGGAGAAGAGTTACAAATGTCCTACTGCGCATCAATCAGGAGCACCCATTTGGCTACCAGCATCCAAGCAAGAATCTTTAAGTCCTGAATCTTCCCTCGGGAAGTGCAGTGTGGTTCCCAACACGTCTCAGAGGCCGCCTCGCCCGCTTATGGCATGTGGTAAAGGGCCAAATTACAAAGAGGATGTGTAAAGAGGGACATGGTATTTTGGAGCAGTAGCTGAATCCTAGCAGCGAAGAGTGTGTACAACAGCAATGTAACGTGGACCTACTTTGAGAACTTGATCCAAACATTTAAACTCAAATAAAATGCCAGCCTAATCGCAACAACCAAGCAAAGAGCTCGCAGCGACTGCTTCAAGCCAACACCGTTTCAATTTCTGCAAGAAAACTGCTGGTGTAGACACCACTACCAATGCAATAACTACAGTCAGAGCCTGAAAGACACTTCTACTCCTGACAAGGAGGAAAAAAGCCAGCAGCCAGATATGCTGGACACTGGTTCCCAAGTCACAGCAGCTGTGAAAACTGCTCTGCAAGGTTTGTTTAACATCAGAAATCACAGCAGCTTTCCTGAGCTGGCTGATCAGAAATATTCCCACAGAGCTAGTCAAAAGGACACCCATTCCCTAAAGGAAAAACTCACACACACACTGCCTATTTGTTTCTTGTTCCTACACCACCCAGAACAACGTGTCCCTGGCAGTGCTACAGACCGTGCAACACACAGGTGACAGCCCCCTTGAAGCCACTGATGTGTCAGGGCCCAGAAAGAAGAGATGGGGCTAGGAAATGGGAAGGACAGCGATGCTCATTCCATCAACCTGCATGCCATGTCTGATCTCCTCCAAAATAAGCAGAAGGTGTACATGCTGTCTTCTAGTTTGCAGCTTAGAAGAGTCAAATGGAAGAGGGAGGAGTCCCACCCTGACAGATCAGGTCAGACAGAGGGGCACAAGGATGCGCAACCGGCCTCACAGAGAGTCAAGAACGCAGCTGCACTGAAACTCCAGGTTTGCATCAGTACAGCACGAGCGTGAGCTGCAACAGCCTGAGGAAGAGATCACTCTGTTCCTCTCCTAGGAAAATAAACCAAAGCACTCATGAAAATAAGTTGCATTTTCTGTCCTTCATAGCCATTTCAGAGAAACTACTGCAAAAAAGCCCTTCAAAGAATGTCTGACCAGCTAGACGCAGCAAGCTTAACACGCCAATCCCAAATCTGAACACGCGAAAATCCTCTTATTTCACTTTTCTTCTTGGCAGATGAAATTTTTCCACCCTGTTAAATTTCTTCCCCAGCTCAAACTCTGGAAGGAATCGCCTGCCACACCAAAAGAGAAAAGAGATCTTAAACGGCAGCAACATTTGCTGTATTTTATTGTTCTTTCTAAGAACATGCTCGTCAGCACTAGACTCCTGTAAGGAAGAATTCACAACGACAGAGAACTGCTCCATTTTAGATGATCAACTCCATGACACTCAGAAAACTTCTGTTCTCCTACTGTGATGGATCTGGCACACGGGACTCGACGCA